AATTCAAGTAGATTAATTCTAAGACCCTGTACATAGAAAAAAGCAACCAACTACGCACTGAAAATGAGGGGTTCTAAATTAGTTTTTTTTCCTGGTTAGCTGAGACCTTGAAGTCACTGCAGATAGCTTTGTGAAAATACAGTTTTCACAGTGGTTGACAACAGGAGCAGCGGAAAAGCAAAGAGAATTTCAGGAGTAATAAGGAATGAACAGAGGAGGTAAAAGGAAGCAGCAGTGGGACATTGGGACACTGCCCTTATGTGCAGCACTTCAGTGTCCTCAACTCTCTACTTCCCTAAGCTGCAGCCGCAGGACACCACTGGAAAAGTTATTTCATGCTACAGATCCTTTAAATCTGGCCCAGTTTTACATTAGAAGTTTGCTACATTAATGTTGAAAAACAAGGGCAAGTAGCAGTTCTACTGCTCAGGCAATTTCCTACACCTAATCCTCTAAAACAAGTGTGTACTTATGATTGTGGAGATCGATTCTGTTGCCTAATTTCCCTTATTCAATATAATTTTCCATTTATTGGCAATGCAGAGAGTGATAAACCATCAGCTTCAAACCAAGATGGTTTTGAGACTAAAAACTCAGAAGATGAAAAATGCTGTGAACAAGGCAGGCGTGGACCTTTTAAACATTAAACATCATCCTCAGTCATCCAAAAAGGTGGATCCTTTGCCCACCCTATCTTTCAAAGGTGAAATTACAAATAGGCAGCTCTGGAACACTCTGCCCAGGGAAGTGGTGGAGTCAAAAAATGCATGGATACGGCACTTGAGGATATGGTTTAGTGGTGAATATGGTGGTGCTCCAGGGCAGAACTTGGTGATCTCAGAGGTCTTTTTCAACCTCAACATTTCTGTGATGAAGAATGACATTAGATCTTACATATTATTATCCATTCTTACAAAATATTTTACAGTGACTTGACATTTAAAAATGTACCAAAACAGCACAGGGATTTTACCACAAATTCGGCTGTGCCACGTGGAGAAGTGGGCAAAGCCACTCTGCTTTTGGCAGGGCTTGGTGCCATTTCAGCTCTTCTTTCCACAGGGATCTGAGCTGGGATCTGTTCCCAGCACTGTTCAATGAATTCATAAGTGGCATGAAAAGGGCTCAACAGTGAGATGACAACATCTGCTGATGATAGTAAAGTTATTCACAGTAACAAAGGCAGTAAATAAGTAGGAAAAAACAAAAAGAAATGTCTGCTGATAACTCACTGGACATTAAAATACATAAATTAAATTCAGGAGTGAAATTAATGAGGACTCTCAAGGAAATTGAGTGTGAAGTAGGATGAGCAGAGGTGGGGCAAGTGGCCCTATTTCATGTATATAAGTCAGCAGGCTTTGAACTGACTCAACACTGCAGCAGGCTGAGCTCTAGAAAATTGTAATGGAAATAGTTATGTATGGATTACTTAAGTCTTCTCCAGTGAAAGAAGTGGATTTTAAATGGAGTTCAGGCTCAAAAGTTAACAGAAGAAGATGGTTCCTCACTGAACAGGCTGATGTGGTAGCTAAGCTGGAGAGCTTTACACTTCCCAGAACTCCTCACTCATGAATTCCAAAAGACAAGTCCAGTAAACACTGCAAAAAAAAAAACCCCAAAAAAAATCCAGCTCAGTCAATCCATGTCCCACAGCTGTCTGGACAATGAAGGGTGTGCAGGAGGAGGGTCCTATTCCCATTCTGCTGCTGTGCTCCTCAATAACCCACCTGTGGCCACTGCTGGAGACAAATCACTGCTCTAAGTCAGTAAATGACAAGAGTTGCTTTCCTCCTCCTACCTTCAGTACCTCTCTGCAAGCTGTCAGACCTTTTTAGTCTATTCTAGACTTTGTGTTGTCTGTCAGGGAAAATCATCAGAACTATGCTGGAAAAGCACATCCAAAATGCCCAGCAGGAGCAGCTGAAAGGGATCAGATGCCCAAGCACAAAGTCTGTCACCCTGTAGATAATTCTGTTTGCATTAAAGTTGCGATGCAGTTTTGCTCCCCATAAAACATCCATCCACCAAAGTGCAGCAAAACAGTCCCCTCCTTCTCAAAGGACAATCAAACCTAAGTAAAAGGGTCCTTTTATTACTTGAGTTCCCTTTTCCACAAAGGTGACTTGAGCTTTTTGCTCTTCCCCTGAATTCCCCCTACATTTCCACTCTTGCTACAAGGAAAAAAAAAACCCTTTGAAAAATCACCTGGATTTCCAAGCAACAAGATGAAAAGTCCTACCTATTCCAGGAAACAGTCCTAATTCATTTAACAAAATTAATGGGTGTTTTAATGACACTTTTAGACTACCACACTGTAACTGACTCTTGATACAGTCTAATGGTATAAAAATAGGAAAATACTAACCACTGTACCAAAATAATCTTTGAAATAATTACCATATCACTATTTCCCATTATTTTTCTTCTCAAAAAGATGCCAAGTTGCTCCAACATGGAGCAAAACAAATCTTCTGCCACAGAAAGAGAATTCAAAAGAAAATTTTACTTTTCTGGGTGCATGTAGCACTAATTCTTAATAGCCAAGGCCACAGAAATAACTTCTATGTCAACAGGTACTGAATCACTTTAAGAGATTAAAATTTTTGAACAAATCCCTTCCTCTAACCACCTACTCCTTCCCTTCAGTCTTGCAAAACTTCCCAGGGATAAAGATTGTTAGAATGTAACCTATAGAAAAAACATCAGAAACCAATTTTGCCTGTTACTGTATTTTCTTTCACACAGCACAGCTGCCTAAATTTAGCATGGCTGTTTTTATTTCTCTTACAAACTATGTTAACAAACTCTGTGGGCCTCTTCACTACCCTTGACACTGAACCACAGGCTTGCAGATAAAGGCTGGGAAAACTGACAGGGTCAAATATCCGAGTTGGGAAAAGGAGGATGAGTAAGGGGGGCTGTACCAGTGATCAAGTGCAACTCCACTCAGCTCTGGAAAGTCTGGAATAGGAATGGAATACGGAGAAACAAGCATAGATCAATTAATTTTACATACAAATATATCTAATTGCACACTTGAAGTTCCTGGAAAGTTTGCCACCTGGGCTAAATCACCTAAATCCAGGCAGAACTATCCATGGAAAAGATGGATTCCTTTCTACAGGCACCTTTTCAGAGACAAGTCATCCCCTTCAAGGGGGTCTGGAATAGGAACTGTCAGGAAGCTGTTCATTGTTCATCCTACCTGCTCAGCAGCACCTGGACATTTAAACCTCGTGAGAAAAACCTCCCCCACAGCATTTGAGGTCAAACAGAAAAATGAAGGTATTTGTATGTGTTTGGGATGTTTTGTAGAAGCATCCAAGCTGAAACTCCTCTGGATTCCCAGGATTCCTGGGAATGCTGCATTGCTGTGCCTGATTGCTACTGCATCAGGCTTCCACAAATACACTCCTGTGCTCTTTCACAGGTGCCCAATCCCACCTTTGAGAGTTTCTGATGCTGCTTGGAAAGATCAAGGATCTGGATCCACACACACCAAATACTTTCATTCTACCCTACAAAGTGTCTCAATTCTGTATCCTCCTCACTGTGCTTGGTACAGACTCTTTGCCAGCACACTCCTTCCACATGTGAAAAGAGCATTTGCCTGAAAAAACCACCTTCCTCAGCTCCATACTGAAAGGAATTAACAGGCTGAAGAATTACTGCAGAAAGAAAACCATTTTAGCATTTAAGATGTGGTGACAACCAACCAGTGGACAGGAAATCAAGTATTAGAGTGGAAAACTGCAGCTGTACTCAGTTGGTACCTGCAAATATTTGCTGTTGAAATTAGGTAACATCTGTAAAAGGTGAGAGTTGTTTTTGGATATATTCTATTTGCATTCCCTCAGATCACAGATCTGCCACCACACAATTCTTATTTCTTCTTGGACCCACCATATCGAAAAAACAATGATCTTGTGCTGTGGAAAGAGATGGAATGTGAAATCCCATCCACTTCCCAACAGAATCCCACAAACATTTTGGCAGGAAAAATTTATTATGTAAAGCCCAGATGGCATCCCAAATATTTCTACTTCAAAATTTAGGACTCTTTTTTTTTTTCTTAAAATAAATTACACAAAATTATCACGCCTAAAATTAACTGTACAAGAGCATCAGGCAAGGTAACCAGACTTGAGCAGTTATTTGGACTATGGGAAGAATGGGAATGTGGTTTTTCTCCATTTAACTCCATTGTCAGAAATGAATAATATTTTTCTATTCAACTCTGTTTGAATGACTGGCAGAGAAGGAAGATATAACAAGCTGATACATCCAGTAACATAGAATACTTGGAGAAGAACTTTTCCAGTTATCTGAAGTCTAACACCTTTGCCATCAACTTCTGAAGCAACGTTTCAAACTTTCAGAACCAAATTTGCCATTTTTTGTTATTCTAACAGGCTTCTTTTGCTTAATATTTTTTTTCTTTCCACTGTGCAATTTCGGCTCTGAATAAGGGAATATGTGACTTCAAAATGGTTTTAGCTGCTGCTTCACTGAAGCAGATAAACCTGATTATCAGTTTGGTTCAGCATGGACTTAGTCACTGCCCACAATTTAAGCTCTGGGATAAAGATCAACCCTTGATTCCGACTGTCATTTTGCAGTGAGCCCACTCCTAGATTCCTTTTATATCTATCACTGCACTGAATGCCAAAGAAATCTCAGTGTACTTGGCATGAAGGCTGCACTTCCTATATTTATGCTCCAACTAATGTATGCTCCATTTTAGTCCTTCCCAGCTTAAAATCATCCGAGGGAAGACAGCATAAAGTGCAAAACAGCCCATGCAACTGTTTTACTAATACAAAATACTGATCACTGCCTCCATCACCACCATTCTCATGCATTTTGGGTTTAAATCTACCCAAAATATAAACCCAGAGGGAACCATGGTCATTTCTGTATCGCATACAGTCCAATCAGGCTTGTTGCTCCACCTCCAAACTTCCAGAAAATAAATCATTACTCTTTAATTGTACTACCTTAACTTTGCTGGCAGAAGCACCTTTTGATTCTTCAAGACGGACGAAAGTGAAACGCTTTCTCCAGGCAAGAATTCCTTATATGTGGCACGCTAACACTTCATCCTTTTTAATTATTCCACAGGTGGTTGCCTTGGAAACTGCCAAGTAGCTCCTGGATTTGAGGGACCCAGCATGAGACAGTGACAAGCCTTTGTAGCCACAGCATTCGCATCCACGTTGGCTTCAGCAGCAGCAGGAGGATGTGGAACAGTCATAAAAAACCTGGAAGAGAGGGTTAAAATTAGCAGGCATTAATTACATTGCTCAGTCTTTTAAATAGAAAATACGAGGAATGCTGATAGCCCCCTGAGCAGGGGATAAAACCCACATTTTTGAGGCATCTGCTCCTGCAGCTCCCCAGCACAGCCCCGGATTTCACCTTCGGAGGACGGCACTGAAATGGAGATGCCGGCGGAGCTCACGAGCTCAGCCCTCAAGATCCAGCAAGATGGGATTATTTTCCCCTCAGCTTCCACAGAGACCTTCCTGAGTGTCTGGTCCAACTGCCTGAAATTCAGTGCTATTGTTTTGCTTTGAATAAAAATAGAGTAACTATAAATAGCTGCCATCGCGAATGCTGATTCACTGTATTCCGTATCATACAGCAAACTGCTCCCAACTTCTCTCAGCTTGAAAAACTAGGAAAATTCTCTTTACTTAAACACAGCCAGAAGCCCAGCAAAGCATCCAATTCTGCATTTGTGTCGCTGGTCTACAAGTACAAAAGATTTTCCTTTTCCCTCTCTGATTTCTCATCATTTCAAAAGCTGTTAATTCGCACAAAAATATATAAATAAAACCACCAAAAACCAAACCAAAGCAAATACCTTAGTATGCTTTCTGCTGCTGGTCAAAACTATACATTTCATTTTTTCAAAAATCTTTTTTGCTTCCCCATTTTTACTTTTTAAACAAAAACTAGATTAACTTATGCCTTAAAAAACAATTTTCATTAAATTATCCATCATGATGGAAATGGTCACTCTTGCACTCAGAAGCCTCCCTCTCTTTACTGATATGATTAGTATGTCCAAGTCAGTGCTTTCTCGAGACTTCACTCATATATAAGTGCTTGGATTTGTGGTATCACAAATTGCCTGGCAGCATCTCAAGAGTAAGAGGTGGATTTGCTTCCACCCATCCATGATGAGACACCCAGAGACACAAGAGCATGTTTTTTAATTTCAGAGCAGAGTTCTACTAGAACTAGCTAGATTAAATATACATTTATTGCACAGAAAAAAAACCAAACCTACAGTGAAGTAAGAGAAATTAAACTATTTCTGAGTGATCTCCTCAGTGCTCACTTTGCCCTTCCAGGGCAGGTCCTTCTCTCTTTCTTACCCTCTTCAATCACTTGCTTGATTAAAAATTAGAATCTGAAACCATTTTCTTTCTCCCTGTCACTGAATCCCACCAAGGACAAAGCAAATCCTGGTGGGTACCACAGTTTTCCCTTTCTTGCTTCCCTCTCCACATCTCCTTCAGTCACCTCATTTTCCCCTTTATGAACCAGGTTTCTGAAAAATGATGTGACAAAACCAACCAGGCATTTTCTTTCCCTCGTTCCCAGCAGTTCCAGAAGTGAGACCTGTTTAATCCTGTCTGGATTCAATTTAGGATGAACATGAGTTTCCCCAATTCCCTCATCCCACCAGCCATCCACCTCCAGACTTTGAGAGGAGAAATATGCATCCTTTCCAGCCCATCAGCCCATGGTTTGCTAAGCAGCTTTTGGGGATTTTTCCCTGCAGAAGTGGCATTCTAAAACACTGTGGAAAATCCAGAGCATTTTCTCTGTTCTCCTCTTCCTAGTTACAGCTATGACCTCCTGCATGTCCTGCTAATGCAGGAGAAAACCTCTCCTCTGCCCCAGTTCCCTCAAGTGTCCCTGACAAACCAAGTCTCCAAAGCCTCAAGCCTTTTATCACAGATGGTTTCTCTCCTCTGAGGAAAGGTGGATTTTTTATCCCTGCCTCAGGCATCTTAACTGTACTCTCAAGCACATCCTCACTCTGCACTCATGATCCCATTTTGTTTTTTCTCACAGGGGCAGACAGGTGAACTTTATCTCAGACCAAATTTGGTGCTTGACCAATTTCCCAGAGTTAGTCCTTTCAATCCACTGAGATGTTCTGAAAACCAGGGCATCCAGTTCTCAACAGGCACCAATGCCTGTCATTTTCATTTGCCTTATTCTCAAAGCAGTATCTCCCTGAGATTAAGTCAAAAGTTGTGTTGCAAGTCATCTTCTTGATTTAAATCCTGTACTTTTCTACAGGAATGCTCATTTCTGAAGTCTTCACCTACAGGAGGTGATGAAACCACTGCATCTCTCCCCTATGCTATCATCTCAGTCTAAGTAAGTAACTTTAGAGACTTAAGAGAGTTCTTGCAAGCTTTTCCCCCTCTTTTTAATATGTATTTTGGAAACCTCTATACAATGTATTTATGTTAAATAGGCTCATTTTAACAAATACTCTTCAGACATTCTGTTTCTGTGAGCGACCCCACCTGTGCAGTGGTTTATCGCTGCCACGTTCCTCCTGTTCAAACTTCTTAATCCCAATTTAATCTCAGTCTGGTGATCTGTCTATATTCTTACGCTCTCAGACTTTCTCTCTTCTTCATACAAAGGTTATGCATGGGAGTCATGGGATGAACTCAATGAAAGACTTGGATTTCTTTTATTTTCTGTAGAATTCATCCACCTCAGGTGCTACAAACACACCTGGATCAACATGGAGCTTCACCAGCTGAGTTTCCAACCAACTCTTGGAAGAAAGGGATGTCACACTCTGCAATTCTTTTCCAGACCTGTGTGGAAGAGTGCTACTGACTCTTCAAAATACAGATAAAACCTTCTGTCTCAGCCTTCAGAGGACACAGGTTTTTTGTTTATTTCCAGCCTCCTGGTCCAGGGCTGCCTAAAGGTTCATATTTTGCCTCTACCACCCCTCTTCTGGGACCTTGAGTCACTGAGTGATGGAGGAGCTCTGCTCCCTCCTCAAGAATGAGCATCATTAAACTCTAAAAGCACTGTAAACTCCAGAGCTCCGTGTTATTAGCAAAATACATAAAACATGGCACTTGTGAATAGCAAAATTAAAAGCAAGATGAATAGAAGACTTTTAAGTAACTCCCCTGGTCCATTGAGTTTTTTTTTTTTTTTAAACTTGTTCTCAATCCATTAACAACCTAATTTCACAAATCCCTATGCATCCTTGAAATAAGTTCATTCCCTTTCTTTCCCTGTTTGAACATTTCCAGACACTGCTGGTTTTCCCCTCCTGAGTCTCCATTCCTGTCAAAGGCTCCTTTCTCACCAGTGTCTCTCCCATTCTCCAAAAAGCTGCTTCCCAAAAATACCCTCAGACACTCTCAGGAATGCTCCATCTCCCTCCCACCAGAGGTTTGCACCTGATGGCAAACACAGCACAACAAGGAACTTTTCCCCCCACCATGGTCAGGACAGACACGAGAAATTCAAACACAGAATCACAGAATAATGAGGTTGGAAGAGACCTCTAAGATCATCAAGTCCAACCCATGCCCTAACACCTCAACTAGACTATAGCACCAAGTGCCATGTCCAGTCTTTTTTTAAACACATCCAGAGATGGTGATTCCACCACCTCCCTAGGAAGACAATTCCAGTATTTTATTATTCTTCCAGTGAAAAAATTTTTTCCTAATATCCAGCCTAAACCTTCCCTGACGTAGCTTGAGACTGTGTCCTCAGTCATGACACATCCCACACTGGAGTTTTCAAAAAGGCCCAAAAGGTCACCTTGCCAAAATTTTAATTAACAAGATCCAAGTTCTTATTTCCCCTTTTTCTCTGCAGAATTTCCTGTTTAGTTCATGTCAGGTACATTTTAGCTACAACTTCTTAGTGCAAAGCTCTTTGCCCAGTTCTTGGTTTCAGTCACAGTTCAATGAATACATAGATGACCATTAGTTTAAGTTTTTGGTTTCTCTAGTTGTAGTTTTGTTTTTTTTTTTTAATTCTTCAGAATTGATGCATGGAAGTGATACACAACCACAACCACCTTTTTTAGCCAACTAGAAAATTGATGTTTCCTTGATAACTGTACTTTTATATGCCCACAAGGCATCCAGACAGCTTGAACCAAGTACAAAATTTCATTTTTATTCAATGTTTCGAATACTATATACATAGATACATAAAATATATATGTATACTGGTAGTAAGTCATAGATACAACAGCAGACTGGAACTGCACTGAGACTGAGTAGCACTGACCCCTTTACAAAATTCCAAAGCCACTGCATCACGGTTCCAGAAGCAATTAATCATTTAAGATTCTTTCTTAAAAAAAATCAAACAAAAAAAACCCCAAACAACTTCTATTTCAGCATTGTTTACTGATCTCTTTTAATAGCCATTATTTTCCACCTGAAAAGAAATTAAATGGTGTCAAAAAAGGTGTAAATCCTGGATATATTTTGTTTTTTAAAAAGCTTGTCAACATTTTTTTTATGTTTTACTATTTGACACATAATAAGGAGAAAACAGGAGCAATCTTCTGAAAACTCTGATAGCTGGCAAGAATCCATTTCTTCAGAAAAAAAAAGAAAAGGCCTTGTGTTGTAAAGAAAATTATTTACTATTTGCTGTGATGGGTTTTTAAGGTTTACTTGCAAATGCTTGGTAAGTAAAAAAGCACCTTTCTCTTAAAATTATTTTGAAGTATAAACAACTAAAGCAGATCACAAAGCCTTCTTTAAACTATTCTACCTCCAGTGAAGATCAGCACAGGTTGGCTACTTCACAGCTTTATCAGGGTAATACACATCTGCACAATGAATATTAAAACAAATATTTTTTAAAAATCAACCAAAACAAACAAACAAACAAAACAAAACCAAAAAATAACCCAAAAAAAAACAACCCAAAAAACCAGAAAAGGCACCCTTAGCTGTCTTCAATAACAGCCTAAAGTAAGATTTTTAAATTAGTAATATGGTAATTTCCCCTATAAAAACTGCAGGTTGCCAGAATAATTTCAGCCAAGCAAACTTTTCCACAAATTCAAGTAGAAGATTTTACATAATAGAGGTAAAAGGGAATAATCAGGACACAAGGCACTGCCTGGGACAGGACTACTCAGTTGCCAACCAGAAATGAAGCACAGAGGGAAGTAAAACAGGCAGAAAAGATATCAAAGTTTGGATGCTCAGTCAGTAGCAACAAGAAC